GAGAGAGAGAGAGAGAGAGAGAGACTGAAAGAGTCAGGGAGTTAATTTTATTGGTTGTACATGAAAGAGAGACTATTTTTTCTGTCATTAGCTCCATCAGCTCATGTCATCTCATCCCTGCCTTTCACTGCTCAAATTCAAAGTAAAATATAATCTCAACAGAAAATTGAAGCTGCTCGTTTCACATTTACACCATATTTAAGTAGGCTGTAAATTGTTCAGGGAGAATTCAGATTTATTACAGCCGTCTTGCTGTTTTTTTGTCATTTTAAACATCAGTTCTAGCTGTAATAAAAAAAAAAAATTCTGACCAAGTTAATTGCTGCGATCTGTCAGTGTGATGACATTGTGACAGAAGTCCACGGGGAAGAGAAATGAGCAAAAGAACAAGACAATCGTATTAACAAATCTCCAGATTAGTCAAAATAATTTGAAAGAGAAAGTACTTTTCCTGCACACAGAGGAATAATTGCCTACGTTCTTGCTTAGTTCACTTTCAGTTGTACCTGGTTTACAGCTGCTAATCAGGATTCGTCAAATATACTGAAGGGATCAAATGAAAGCAGTTTCTTCAATATTCTTTTTTCGTGTGAAATGATTCAAAAACTTTAAATACTAAAAATCCTTAAATATCACAAAACGTCTTTCATTACACATGTAATAAACGTCTTTTATTATACATTTAGCCTGTCATCACAGTGGAATAAGTGACCGCCTGGTAACTTCTGAGCAGTTAGCGAGTAATTTCTGACGGTTGCTAGGATAAATCGGTTGCAAAGAGGGCGTGGCACCCAAAATCTTATTGTGATTGCTTTGGTCACTAGCAGATTACTGGGGTCAACTGTAGCTTGAATGGGAAATACAAACACTTGATAACTAACCATGAAGCGATCATGCTTGATGGTTAGTTAGGCCTTAATAGACAAAAAAAACAAACTTTTATTGGACTCCATCAAACACAGCTCTTAGATAAATCCCATCGTTGCTCTGTTTCTGCCTGTAAATTGCTCAACACACACCATTTTAAAATAATGTATTTTCTCTGCTTTCAGCTCTTACATGGCAGAAATTACAGGTTTTAATAATCTGATTATGTAGACAAGAAAAAAGCCCAAGGTTAAAGAACCTGGATTCACATCACGTTTTCATATTTTTTTCAGTTAAGTGACTTAAAAAAGTTGTGTGTTTGCTTTTTCCCCCCTCCAGGATCGCCATATTATTACAGTGCAACATCACGAGGGGCAGGCCCTGCTGCCACCGCTACAGCCTCCACCTACGACCGCCACTGACACCCTTATGTAGACACAGGAAGTCGCAGGGTGAGGAGGAGAAGGAGATGAGGGAGGGATGGATAGCATCGGAACCGCTCAGTACAAACTCGCCTACGCTTGGACTGCAAAGAGAAGAATTCAAATCTCTGACATCGGTGAAGTTTGCATTTTCTTTGAGTGACACTTAAACCAACGAATACACTCCTGAGCTGCAGCACAATACTGTTTGGGTATACAATACTGTGAGGACACAGGTATGGCAAGGTCAATAACTGATTATGTAAACAAGTAGATTTTGGACATTTGGACCCTCCCACACTATCAAGCCTTCGTATCCCTATCTAGTTTTTAACCAGTCATAAACCAAAAGTCAGCGGACTGTGTGTAGTATTAAAACTATCTGTATTGTTACCTTCTGGGTTTTCCAGTTGGGAATATTTTTGATGAAATTATTTAAGCTGATCAGAGAAAAATCAACTTTTTCAAACAGTAGGCTATTTTTATGACCGCACATTAATCAATCAATTTTCTATGCCATGCTACAGTGAAGTAAAGACAATCCAATCATCCTAACTTTGACTGACCAAAATCACCCATATCGTTACCATTCTATTCATTCTGCCACAGATTCAACACATTTTCCTCTGGAACCCTCAGAAATGTTCATCAAATGAGATAACATTATTTCAAAGGGAGCGTTCAGGGTCACGCATGTTCGCTGTGCCCTATCCCGTTTGTTACTGTTATAGTGGTCAAAATTTCCAGTTCTGCAGAGTACACATGCTCTGAATTTCTAGTCATTTTTAAAGCAGCAGATTGCTTACGACAAACACAACTATCACACAGCTGTCAACTATCCAATCCTTTTGTGTTACCAATGCACTATGCAGTATGTAAGCTAGTGAGCATTTGCATCTCACCTCATTTCTTCATTCTTTACTTTTAGGATTGGAAAAAGTTTAGAAGATAAGACTCCTTAAATGCTGTGTGTGATTTCTACTGCTGCACCATGCACACAGGTTCAGCATGTAGAAAAATCCAAAACTTGGCACGCCTAAAGATAGTTAATAAACCATGACTGGATGTTTGCTGTTCAGGGGTGGGGTTTTAGTAGTTGAAGTCAAGCAAGAAAACTGTGTCCTCACATAGTGGATGTATTAAGAGGAGCTGGATACTGGATGTCAACGCCTACAGATAAATTCATAACAGAACGATTACGGGCCAACCTATCAGAGGTAGAAACATTAGTAGTCCTACAGATGACTCTTTTGTATTTTTCAGGAAATTTTTGGCTGCAATACTGAATTTAACCAATAGAAAAATTGGAAGGACTGCTGAATGACATCGCTGCATCCAAAAGCCTCATTTATAACATGAAGTTACATTTGTAAAATCTTAATTTATAAGTCTGAACTGTCCATGATTTTCCTGCTAATCAGAATCAGATTCACTGACAAATTTGGATTCTCTTTTATTTTCTCTTAATCTACTTAAGAGAGCTTGTCCTCAAAAAAGTTTTCTTTTCTGTTTTGGTCCTCGGTTATTTCTGTTTAAACCCACAATTCTGCCGAAATTACAGGTGCCGTCAATTTAGGTTGGTTTGAGATTTAGAAACAATGGTCGTCACATAATTAAACAAAAGTAATTAACCAATCTTTGAACATAATAAAAATGTATAAATGAGGCCCCAGCTCTTTTAATACATCCATTCACACTTGCATTTGAGTTGGTTTGAAAGCCAGTGACCAAGACATAGAGAGACCTTTCAGGAAAGCACAGCCTAAAATCTGAGCCCACTACTGTAAAACAAACAGTACTCATCTTCACATCGGACCAAAATCAGTTCCATCAGGTTGTGTTACAGTACAGGACGGTGGTATCCTACCTCCCCAGACAAGATTTAGTCCTGATCAAGAGCTATTTATAATGGAGGAGACACAGAGTAATATATTAAGAAGCTTTTCTGTGCTGCACTCCGTGATGAGAGTGAATGCCTGTAATGATTTATAATAGTGTCACGCTGTTGTGCTAGAATAGTGACGATGACGACGGCGATGATGCAGTGAAATATGAATTCTGAAAAAACTTTCAATATAAGAAGTCTTTGTTTATAAGTGTGATCAGATTGCGATTTTCCTGTTTATAGTTTGTTGCCTGGTATCAGTTGACAAAGGTGCCACTTAATAAGTTTTTTGTGTTTTTATTTTGCTTCCTAAGTGTCCAAACGAAGGTTGGTGCTAGACTGGATCAGACCCAATGTGAGGAGTATCCCTCCTGTTGCTGATCCAGTCGAGCATCAGCCAAAGACCAACAGGAAGCAGTGGCACCCTCTCTTTCTATCTCTGTCTTTAAACTCCCCAAAGATGTGCCCCCCTAGTGGATCGGCTGACTTCTTACAAAAGCACAAAGAGACTCAATCATCTTCTTAAGGTGACATTCTACTTTTTCAGCTTCCTTTCAGAACCATTAAGTACTTCTTCTGCTTTTCCCCGTTTTGAGTATGTGTCAAAACATGTGCTTGTTTAAAATCCTGAAATTGTTTCTATAAAAGTACTGCTTTCGTGAAAAAAAAGTAAATCTGATTATTATTATTTTTTCGTTTGTTTGTCTGCCACATCAGTTCTGCGCTGCGACAATGCATGACACCAGGGTTGAGGCCTTACCCATCTCGTACAGACAGACAAGGACAGATTCGCCCCTCAGCACAGATCTGAAATCAGTGTGTTTTCCCTTCCCAAATGTCTCTGAGGGGCCGATATATTGATCTTGTGAGAGGGCAATATCTTCCTTAGCCTGTACCTTTTTCAGTTTCAATTCTGTCCTCACCAGACTTGTACAGTAATCAGCGAAAGAGAAGTCACAATGTCAATAGCGATTTCAGTTATTCACACTGAAGTTAGATTTTAGTGTCGAAGCTTTCTTCTATTATAAAAAGACTTAAGGTGTGCGGTGTTGTTTTTGGCCATCATCTGCGAGTACTTGGATTACTTTTTTGTTTTGGGTATGTGTGGCTGAGTGTAGCACTTCATTGCTACTGTGTAGAGTCTACTAACAAACAGATTGAAGGCACCAAATCTGCAGTGTGAGGCATAATATATAGCTCTATAAACATACAATAACTATAAACCCTGAACAAAGCTGTTAGTTTCTCAATATTTGTTGTTTCTGGGATTTTTTGAAATAGTAATAGAGTGGATCCTTTCACATTTGTAGACCTTAAAAGTTGTGAATACACAACTCTAAAGAAAGATTCTTATGACGGCTCACCTGCTGTGTTGCCAGCGTGCGCCTCAGCGGGAGCCTTTCCTTATTTCTGTCTTTTTCTCTTGATCCTTCTGAGGCATTATTGAACCTGAACCACACCAGCTGAAAACAAGGACAGTGCCTTTAGTTTTATATGTCAACATCCCCCTGACCTACTATGAGTCACTAAAACTAGATTCAGTTTCCCTCCCTGCAACACATTTAACAGAAGTCTTATTATTTACCCAGGCAAACACAGGGTTTGAAGATTTTTCAAAGCCTTTTACAAATAAATAAAGGTGATTAAAGTACCAATAACTCACAGTGATTCTTACAATGGAACAACAGTGTCATCGAAGCTCTGACAGCTGATCTAACAGCACCCACATTAGTCAATAAATCTCCCCGAATGTGGATTTTTCAGTCATAAAACCCGGAGGAAAAAAAGATGTTGTTAAGCAGCTACAGCAATGAAAAGCAGAAAATAGTCCTGGTTGTATTAAAGTCAGTGATTGATTCCTCACTCATCAGCTGTAGTGACAGTGCCAGGGCCATACGATTTCTATCCAAGCGACTCAGCTGAGACTAAACCTCTGGTGACACCAAGACATGTCTTTTTTCGTTGGGTTGATTTTTGTGTGGCAGTACAGTAGGTCATCTCATGGAAGATTGTTTCCACCGCTGAATTTATTTTATTTATATTTTCCCCATCTGTAGCTCTAAATTCTATGATATTATTTCAAAATTCTTAGTTATCTTTAGATAACAATCCCAAATTTTGACATAGCACAACAAAATACACGAATTAATTAAATTAAAAATTCACTGTTTGAAAAAAAAACAAAATTTTTTTGGCTGGTTTTGTTTTTGAACACTCACATTTATCATATGGATTTGCAGGGATGACCACCACGTAGAAAGACTCCATAAGGTTTTGGGGTTTTTTTTTTTTTCATTTTTGATAAAGCTCCTAAGATGATCACGTTTTCAGTGGGTGGTAGTGTCTGTGTGGGAACATTGACCATAAAGAAATGGGTCAGCAAAGTCACAGGACACAACTCCAGTTCTACGAGTATATGCAGAACCTGCTAATGGGCTAAAAACCTGCTTACAGAGCCAATCACCCAGGCCTAGACAAGTTAGTGACATCCTGGCAACCACCCGTCGCTAGGGAAAATGAGTATCACCCCCAATGAGTTGTGAGTGGTTGCAAAAGGTTGCTGAGAAATCAGCTGCTGAAGCCTCAGTCACATAGGTCTGGAGACTGGTGACACTGGTAACCACTGGTAACTACGAAAAAATTGTGTTCCCTGACCAGTTTGCAAGTGGTTGCAGGAGGATGCTTGCTATCAAAAGGTGAAGGCTCTCCATTGCTCCATGCTCTCCATTTCCGTTTTGGATCACACTTACTACTGGTTTCACTACTGGTTGATGAGTGTTTGCAGCAAGACGGCATCTTCCATGAAAACAACGGCAACCGTTAAACTGCTATTAACCAAACCAATCTCAAGGAGGTTTTTTTGGTTGCAGCGGGACAGTGAGATATTTTTTCCAACTTTAGGATCATTAAAAGATATCCGAACATCAACCAAGTGCATAATATTTGCATATTTCTGAAATGGGTGACTGAAAAGCTCAAATTCTGGGAGATATCCATAACATAGATCAGGGTTAAACTAATATATATATATATATATATATATATATATATATATATATATACACATATATGTAAAAGCCAAGAACATGACAGAAATATCTCAAGTTTATTCATTAAAAAAATGAATTTCTTTTTTCCAACCCCAGTATTTAAAAGAAACACACAATTTCATCTCATTGACATAATCTAGCTGCTTACCCTAACCATCAAAAATGAATGCCTAACCCTCAGCCTAAGCCTAACCATAACCTAATTGTAACCCTAACACTAAAACCACATTTTGAGCCTCAAAAATGCTTTCAAACTCCTGGGGACAGGCATTTTGTCCCCATAAGTGACTGCTGGTCCCCACAAGTATAGTAGCATGCCAATTTTCTGTCCTCACAAAGATGTCTAAACAATGTTCACACACACACACACACACACACACACACACACACAATAAGAAATAATTGATTAAAGTCATTCTCCTTCAGGAGGTAAATCCAGTTGTCCGCTTGCATCAAGTTGCCAAATTAAACAAGTCAAACTCAGTGGCTGTCATTCGGTGTAGACCAGAGTCCAGTGACATATTAACAGGACTGTTGGTTAACTATGCATCTCATAGGGACACAGCTTGCTTTGCCATTGCTTTGACCTGACTGGTTCACATTGGGAGAGACTGGATTCTCACAGCTATGACATTGACTGCAGTGATGAAGGGGGGGGGGACTAGTCACCGTGGGTGGTACTATAGAAAGCGTGGCAGGCAGAGGCTACATACACACACACATAAATATAAGTACAGACATACTCTTGCTCCCTCCTTTTGTCCTTTGCAAAGTGGTGGTAGCCCCTCCTCTTATGCCCCCATGTTCCCCAGGGGAGGCCAAACCTGCTGTGCCATCAGAAGCTCATCCCATCCTTTTTCACCCCCCCATCCCTCCTCGGCCCTAATCTCATCATATCTCATGCACTTGTCTCCCCATCTCTCCTCTCCTCCCCACTGCCACACCACCAGGATTAGGAATATTAAAGGTATTCTCTTGATTTCAGGGCTGTGACCTTCCTCAGAAGTCCTCCCTCTTTCTTCAGACAGCCCTATTAATCCTTTTGCCTTCTTACTTCTCTCACTTTTTCCCACTGACTCCTCAGATGTGATGCTCGCTGTCCTGTCAGAAATTCTGCATAGGAATCAAGCTGGGTGTTTTTCGTGCCAAAGCGAGGTCATTTCAATGGCAATATTGCTGCCGGCGTCTTTATTTGGTCAAGAACACTCTGTGAGATCTCGCATCTCATCTTATTTCCTCTCCGTGTGGCTGTAGAGCATTTTGAAACACAAAGAAACACCAGTTTCAGATCAAACAAATACATTTCATTTGCAGCACTTCCACAGTTTACTGTCCATGAAAATAAATTGCATCCTGAATTTCGATCCCAGCTCCAAGTCAAATAAGAACCTGAAATAAATGCAAATGAGTTTTTTTCTCCTTTATTATGATTTCTTGCCGAGTGCGCACTGCCTGACTGTATCTCAATATGAATCCATGAAGAAGGCTACTGCCTTCCCAAAACCTGAGGGGAATTCAGCATCACATCTTGACAGCAATTAGTGGCACAATCTGTTTCATGCTTGCTGATATAACTAGGCTCTGGACAGATCTCATACTGAAGTGTTACAATGTTCTGTACATCTTAATATTATTCAACTGTGGAAGAGGAGTAATACACACGACTCAGCCTACAAAAATCAACTGTGCTTTTTAAGCAGATGTTTCAATCAAAAAAAGAAAAAAAGAAAAAAGAATAGATACATAATTTTTCACCTTACTGTGGCCTTTCGTGTAACAATCTGGAGTTTTTTTTGTGTCCATGACTTCCTATCTGGGGTTTTGAAGAGATATTTATATCTGTGACATTTTGGTCCAAATAAAATAAAATAAAATGAAATATGAATTTAAAAAAAATGAACAAACAAAAGACAAAAAGGCAAAAATTTAATTCGGGTCCAACGATTCAGTGCGTTCTATTCTTCAACATTAAAATGGGACAAAAAAGATAACATATCTGTAACATTCACCAAAGCCTGTGATGCCTGTTTTAAAGGACAAACTCTTGTACAAAAACCATATGAAATAGAAGAAAAAGAGTTACAAACACAAAAACGAAGACGAGAAATGCCTTCAAATATTCTAAAGGGGAGGATTAAAAAAAAAAAAAGTAAAAAGAAATGCTTCTTTAAGAAAACCTGTATGTTTTTTATTCAATTTTCTAGTAGTTGCAAACAAAACTTGGTGTTTTTTCTCTTTGTGTGTTGTGTGTTGTCTTAATATTTGAATGTATTTTACTGCAGTGCGAATTTGCCAAAGATATCATATCACTTGATTTTTCTTCTTTTTATCTTTTCTTCACTTTTTGTTTGTTAGTTTATTTTGTTCCTGAACTGCGATCAGTTTTGTTCAGAAAACTGAAAGTAAATGGTGAATTTGATATTATGCTTATTTTTTATATTTCTATTGTTAATATTATTGTTATTTTATTTCATGGCTTTGAGTTTACTGTGAAATATTAAATTGCAGTTTGCTTGATGCATTTCTTCATACTCAGTCTGTGTACCTGTCCATCCGTCCACCTGAGTGACTGTTGTTGGTGAATTATTCCATTTATGTACCTGTAATGTGAAACTAAGAAGTAATTATTTGTAAATATTTGCCATAATTTTATTGGTCATTCAGAATAAAAATAATTTTTTGGAATTTAAAGCTTCTGAGTGAGTGTTTAGCTGCACGTTTACTTGATTTTTGATACACAAACTCACACAAACTAAACAGTTGTTTCTGGCGTAAATACCACATTCCTGTACATTCAGCCTCAGTCCTGGACAGTAGGCGCTGCTGACAGAGCTGGTGGCTGTTTGTGTCTCATTGTGACCCCACAGAGCTGCTTTCATCCTGGGGGACACACATCTCATCTCACCCCCTCCCTCTTCTCACCTCACCAATCTTAGTGAATGGAGTGTCCCAGTGCTGCAGTCTTGGCTGCTGGCCGAGTCCAGAAGGGGGCAGAGGTGTGTGTGTGTGTGTGTGTGGGTGGGTAAGGAGGAGAAAGGGGGAGGGGGGTGATAATAGGACACAAGCCACGACATGGCGACAACACGCCACACACACAGAAAACAGCACATACCCAGCTTGAGACACAGGCCAGGCTGTCCATAGTTTGGGTGTCTGCCCAGGACACCAGAACTGCAAGAAGTGTGTGTGTGTGTGTGTGTGTGTGTGTGTGTGTGTTTGTTAGTTCCATGCCAACCAAAGGCAACCCTCTAACGTTGTGTAAAAATGCATCATACGGTAAAGGATTAACACTGGAGTGAAAGTTAACAAGCGCTGTTTTATTGCCGCTATTGAGGTTGGACGAATTCCTAGGCAAGATTAAATCCGGTGCTTCCACGCACATTTTCTCCAGCCTTTTTTCTCTTGTATTCATCTGAATCCTAAAAGACCACTGAGGGCTTTTCTCACCTTCTTTTGGGTTTCTTTGCAGTTGTTTTTGTGGTATTCATATACAACCGTTTGCATTTTTCCTGGTGTTTAGTAGCAGATAACCAGATATTCTCTGCAGATATTTGGGGGTTATTGCTCAGACTTAAAAATGCATTTGTGGTTGAATCTGTGATGGTATGGGTATTTCTCAAAACTGTACGCTACAATACTGCTCCCACTGAAATTAGTCAAAAGAGCTCTGTTAAATTATAGACTGTATCTTAAAGATGGACATGGCATCTAGGGCTGAAAAATAAAGCCATTTATTCAATAAAACTTAATGTTTCTAATGAACAGTGCTGTGGTTGGGAGAAAAAGCCAGACTACAAGAAAATATTCACTCTGCCTTCACTCGAGATTCTCTAAGTCTCTTTATTAATACACCGTGATGCTCTCTCTCTCTCTCTCTCTCTCTCGATATTGTCCTAGTTAGAAACAGGCAGAAAAGATGTTAAAGATGTTAGATGTCCTAGGTCATGGCTACTTTAAAGATACTTTCAAGCCCCTCCCTTATTCCCTCTGGGATTGCCACAGTGAATGCTGTTCCTGATGCAACCTTCCTATTTATCCAGGATCAGGCCTTATGAAGCCAAGATGGTAAATGTCGAACTCGCCCAGAAGCCATGGCAGTCCATTTTGTTTTTTACAGTCTACGTGATCAACAGCACTGTGTGTTACTAAAGCATCAGAGGCGCTCAGTAAGTTCAATGTAATATTCAGCCAGGACTTTAGTGCTCTCACAGTTTCTGCGTGCAGTTAAGTGTTTCGCAGGTTTTAAGCTAATGTGTCACAGCCACAATTCCAACAATGAATGCAAAGCCATGGCTACAGCAGCCATCCCAGCCTGTCTCAATCAGCTGTGACACAACTATGCACGGTGTAGCTTAGCTTGCTAAAACTACTCAATTTAAATTGTACATACTCCACTACGTACTACAGTTTATTAATTGGTGATTGTGAGTAACAGAAAGACAGTAAAATCACATTGCAAATGAGCAATTTCACATTAGGAATTTAAAATCAGGAGACACAGATATTGGTGGTGCTGTTTGTCTGTACATGTCTAAAAAATGTGCAGTTTCTGGATCTAAAAACTTGTATTAGCAAAAGCTAGCCACATATAATTCTACTGTATCTGATTTTCTTTAGTGAAGTTGCATCCTGAAAGATCTGATAACCTCTTAAGCCCAAAATTTTATTTGCAGATGAGCTAAAGAACAAACGCTAGGTAAAAAAATAAATAAATAAATGGGAGATTTATGTTTGCATAGTCTGAAAAACAACGCCAGTAGACTACAGATATCTGGGCAAACACTGCCAAACTGCCAGAACCGTTAGCCTGGCAGATAGAGAGCCGATGTATGACCTGTCAGATCCATGTCTGCCTGCAAAATAAGGGTTTGACAGTACTTAGTTAGAAAGCAGTGCGACACTCTCTGCCTTCTTTACTCTCCTACTAGTGCTTCGGATTACATAACATGACATGTTCT